AGAAGTGACTTGAAGACAACTAGCAATGATGTCACCCAAGATCTTCATCGTTTTCTCCCAGAAGACCTCTTACTCTCTGCTTATGACCATACTTATTATTTTGACTAGAGTCTACAGAGAGGGTGGGAAACTGTGAAGATAAAAATATCTTTGCCGTTTTTTCAGTTTCACTCGATTCTTATCAGTTTGCAGAAACTTGTTATGTGCTGTGATCAGTATTTATGTGCCATTTGCATCCTGCTTTGGTTGAAACGACGATATTGCAGAAACACGTAACTATGTTCCTGAGAGCTAGAATAGGTTTTGACCTGCAGGAGGTAGCAAGACATCAGGCAGAGGCCAGGCACACGCAGGGTGTGAAAGGCGCCGGTTGCGGCTGTCCTGGAACTTGGAGATGGTGTGTTCTGTGGATGATGCGATTCAGTGCCTCAAGCTGATTCCTTACCTCACCGGCTCCTGCATCAGCTCTGCTTCTGGATTCCTCACACAGTGGCTGGCACCACCATCTACTCATAGCTTAGCAGGCCCGGCATGGTCTGGCCCCAGCTTCATCCCTCCCTCTGCCCGAGTTTGTGCATTCTGCCGCACCCTCACTGAAATATTTCTAGTGCATCATGAGCCAAGCTGTTGCTGTTTCTACTGAACTGCCTCTTCGTACATAGGATTCTACAGCCTAGAATCCCTCGTCCTTGCATGTCATCCTTGTTGCAGGGGCCATGCTAATCTTTCGTGTATCATTCCAACTTTAGTATACATGCCAGCACTAGAATCCCTCTTCTTTGAAGAGTAAGTTCAGGCAGCATTCCCCATCATCCTCTATTTCTGTCCCCACATAGCAATCAAGGGCTCCACTCACTTGTCTGTAGTCTCAGCAACTAGGGCCACTCCTGGATATCTTCAGCACTGGATATACATGTCATGCATGAAAGAAGAAATGAGTTCATGTAGTGGGTAAGTCTTGGGGTAGTTAGTGATGGTGTGATTGCTGTTGTTAGGTGTTGTCGAGTCAATTACAACTCATGCGGACTCTATGAAGAATGGATCAGAGCCTTTCCCTATCGGGCACCATCCTCGCTGTCTCTGACATGCTCAAGTTCATTACCATTATTACAGTCACTGTGTTGGTCTGTCTTATTGAAGAGCTTCCTCTAGTTCTCTGACCCTCCACCTTTCCCAGCATGACATCTTTTTCCAATGACTGGCCCCACCTGACAACATGTCCAAACTATGGGAAACAAAGCTTTCCTATCCTTGTCTCTAAGAAAACTCTAGTTGTACTTCTTCCGAGAAACAGAGGCGTCATACCTTTTCTGTGAGAGCACTTCCTACTTCACCCCTCTTTCTGGAACAGAGGCCCCTCTGATTTCCAGCCCCATTGGATACTTAACCTCCACCACACAAAACACACCCACCTCTCCGTGGGTCCCTGCTCTCTTCAAACCTTGGTCCCTGGACAGTTCTGTCATGTCTGTGTGGAGTGAGCCATTCAGAGCAATGAGTGAGTTGCTGAAGCAAACCATTCCTTGGTCTCCATAAGAGCCAATCCCCCTTAGCTGGGCCATGAGGGGCATCTCAGGAGGGCAGGGCAGCAGGCAATTCTTCTCACCAATGTGAATTGTTCTCACCAATGTTATGTCACCATGCTCCCAGACTAGGTAAGTGCTTTGATCACCAGCTCACACATGGTAGGGGATGGCAGTCACTGGGGCCTTCTGAAGTGGTCTAATTTCTAGGAAAGCCCTTGGGCCCTGGCCTAATATGAACCACATCAGCACAGAGCCTTCTCCCCAGCACAGGCAGTGCTGCTTCTTCCATCTTCCAGTCTAAGCACCCTGAGATTCAGTCAGCCTCATCAAGACTTTCTTTAAGCTAGCTATTCAGGAAAGAGCTTGGTCCAAACACCTACAGCACTGCCTCCTCTAGTGCTGGCCCTGTTCACCATGCTGCAGGAGCAGCCAACCGTACTGAGCCTGATGTGAGGCTAAATCTCTGGTCCAGGAGGAAGCTATAGAAGGGCTGGCTTTCCATCTCCAGGAATCTCAAAGCTAGAATGCATAGCAAAAAGCACTTAGATGATATGATTTGAAAAATTCAAGGCCAAAAGTCAGACACATAAATGCTTTGTTTTTTAATAAACCACCCCGTCTCCTGCTTTTCTGTTCAATGTTCTAACTGGTTCTCTGTCTGATTTTCAAGGAAGCTCTGATGCCACAGGCCTTAGATGTTTCAAATCAGAGGCAATAAGAGAGATGCAAATCAAAACCAAAATGAGGTACCATCTCTCTCCAGTAACAGTGGCAAAATTCAGCAGGACAGCAAGTAATAAATGTTAAAGAGGATGTGGCAAGAAAGGAACTCTTATACATTGTTGGTGAGACTGTAAAATGGTACAACCATTCTGGAAGGCAGTTTAGCTCTTTCTCAAAAAGCTGAACATAAAAATTCCATATGATCCAGCTATTCCACTACTTGGAATATAACCTGAGAAAATGAGAATTGAGGTACAAATGGAGACTTGTACACCAATGTTCATAGCAGCATTATTCACCTTGGCAAGAACATGGAAGCAGCCCAGATGTCCAACCACAATCAAATGGATTGAGAAATTATGGTACATTCATGCAATGGAATACTACGCAGCACATGGGAGCAAAGATTTTGCAAATTATTACCTAACTTGGGAAGAACTGGAAAGCATTATGCTGAGTGAATTAACTCAGTTCCACAAGGACAAGCACTGTATAAAACCATTATTATAGAATTAGTATGAAGACCCAAGGTGGTGGGGAGGGGAGGGTGGAAGCAAAGGAATGAGGATGTGTGAGGTGGGGGATGGATTAATCACGGGGTTGTACAATTTGATGAGTGGGGTGTGAGGGAAGTAAGAAGAATCTGATCTAAAAAACAATGTATTGGAATTTTGTAAATAAACAAGTATGACATTAAAAAATAAAAGTGAGTCTGGGTCTTAATTCCAAAGAGTCCTGAGCAACCTGGGTATGGTTCCTGACTCCATCAGGCTTATAAAGATGAACATGGTGATAAAAAGCCCTTATGGATGAAAACTATTACTCGGCTTCCCCATCTCTCTGCCCTTCTGCTACAGGAATGTCCCAAAGAGGGTGCTCTAAGAGTGAGCAGAGAAGGGAAACTTAGCCACTCAAGCAAGACCAGAAGCTGCAGAAATAAATGAGTATCCTTCTAAGCACTTCCCTAGGCCACTTCAAGAGGACAGTCTTGTAAGGCTGCAGGCTGGATTATGTGTTTCTCCAGCTAAGACCTCAAGGAACTCCAGAAGTATTGCACACTTTCCTTAAACCCGGACACATGGCAGCAGGAAAAATGGCCTTTCCAATCATGACTTTGTTCTTGAAAATGTTACTCCTTTCAAATACCTGGTAGGTGTCTGGATTTTGAAAGGTGGGTTTATAGAGAAAACTTCAAAAACTCTAATTGCTCAGCATTGTAGAGAGGAACCTGGCTCCTGCTCCTTAAAATCAATCAGAAAGAGAAGGTTGAGGTTTAGGGGACTAGGAAAATAACTAGATGGCGGTGGATTAAGGAGTTTGTGGGGTGACACGGCCAGCCACAAATCCTGGCCATGAGATAGCCAAAATAACATCTCTGAACATTTTAGAAATATGATTTTAAATTGTTTGCTGGATGATGTAACCTCTCCCTTGTGACCTACAAACCTTCATTAAAAGTTCTGCTACATGTTACAGCCTTATTTTTGTGATCACTTTGGGATCAGTATGGAGGATGAAAGGAGAAGGGGCTGTGTTCCATATCTGACTTGACAGAAGAAGCTGGAGAAAGTCACAAGACCAGAGAAGGGAATAAAACTTCAGAAGAGGCAGAAAATTGGGGCCAGAGGTGACCATGAATGTGTAAGTCAACTCAGTAATTCACAGAAACCCTGGCAAGGGCACTGGACTTTCCACAGGACATGGGAGTTCTATCAATGTCTTTTCATCTCCAAGGACACGCTACCTCAGCTGACACTGAGGTTACAAGCAGATTCTGCCTTTCCAGCTGGCCTTAGTGGGTGCTGGGGAGCCGATTTCGACCATGTGACTACAGAGGATTTTCTGGCCTGTAACTTTGTGGAAGTACACTGTCACATCTTCCTTCACCAGTGGAGCTAGTGGGTCGGCTCAGACAGTAAAGTTTTTAGTTATCAGCTGATCATTTAACTGCTGCACCACCAAGGCTCCTTCCAGTTGGACTAAACTTACAAAACATAGGATGTGTCCCTGGGTCTTCACACGGAAGCTGCACATACAAAACAAGCAAGCAAGAAAGTGGGGACCTGTAAAAGTACGTGACTGATCTGTTAGCGTCCTGGACACCCACTGGGAGTGGGCAGAGCCTAATGTCTGGTAAAGCATGTAGTAAGAAAGTTTTCAGGTCAAGACTTTTCCCTCTTTCCTCCTTGTTTCACAATCTCTGCCCCAGCAACCCCTATCCCAAGGGCTGCAAAGATCGTTTGTGCAGCCTGAAAGTAAGTAAGCAAGGAAGGCCCTGGCACAGGAGGTGCTGTCGGAGATCACAGAAGATTGTGTGATAACCAGACTACTCTGATTTCATTATGCTGTCCCTGTGGGATCAGAAGCTGCAAATTCCCTTGAGACCCAAAGAGAGTGAGACAGGGACGGCGAATGAGTGGGCTGTCAGTGGCCACGGAATTTTCCTAGGAATAGTTGTAGGAATGATCTGCAAGGGCTCTGGTATTTACTCCCAAGCATCTCTTTTACATCCCTCTGAGGTTTCACTCTAGATCCTCGCAATTCAAATAGCCTCAATCCCGCGGCGTCCTTGCAGAATTTACAAGCCGCTCACAGGGCTGATAGCGCCATCTGGCGACTCAAAGGAGCTGGTTCCCCCTGAGAACTTGACCAGCTCTCGAAGGAGGGGTGGCTTTTTCCGACTAGCCTGGTCCAGTCCCGCCCAGCCTAACCCCGCCCAGCGTGATGGCGTCATGATTACTCCAGTGTCTTCCCGCCTCTTCCTCCTCCCGGGAATTGCCAGTACTTAACGTGGCGTTCCCGCCCTCTGCCCTTACTTTGCGTGTGTTCCTACGTGCGGCGGAGGTGGTTGCGCGGGCCGGTCAGAGCGCCGCGCTGCTGTTTCTGGTGCTTCTTCTTTTGCTGTAGCTGTCCCGCTCCAAGCCGCCGAGCCTTCGGCCGCAGCACTTCGGAACCGAACTCACCTTGGCGCGGGGTTGGTGAGGGGCGTGGGCGAGTGCGTGGCGGAGAGCGCCGCGCGGAGCGGCGGGCGGACGCCCGTGAAGGAAGGAGGCGGGGGCGGCGGGTCAGCCGCGGGCCGGGCCGGCCGGGGGATGTCGATGCCTGACGCGATGCCGCTGCTCGGGGTCGGAGAGGAGCTGAAGCAGGCCAAGGAGATCCAGGACGCCGAGAAGTACTCCTTCCTGGCCACCGTCACCAAGGCGCCCAAGAAAGTACGGGGGCTCTGGGTGGAAGCGGGGGGCCCGGCGGGCCTCGCGGAAGGGGCGCGAGTGATCCCCGGGCTTCGGCTCGTTCTCCACTTAAGGGAGAGGGCTCGGGGTGACTTGAGACAGAAGAGGCGGGGTGGGGGTGGCTGGTGACCGGCCTAGGCCCATGCTGGAGTGGAAAGGCCTCCCTGACCTCACTTTCCTTTGTCCCTCGGCCTTAGCCCTCCAGGGTCTTTCTTAAACCCGATAGGGTCGGGCCTTAAATTTTAAAATGACTTTCCTTGAATGATGGCCCTCGACCACGAGAGTGTGGGGTGAAGGCACTCTGCCGCCCCGCTTGACCCGCTGCAGGGGTTGAGGGGTGCGGGAAAGCGCCCTTCAGGTGAGGAAGTCCAACACAGAGATCCCCCCCCTTCGGGCAAATGGGTTTCTCCAGCAACTCCATGATCATTTTATTGGTAAGAGAAAAGAATATGTGGCCCAGCTGTTTATGCAGGTGAAGGCAGGCAGTGAAGACCACTTGAGATTGACGAGAAAAACTATGATTTCACCTTCTACGGTCTGCCAGTTGCTTTGACATCCGTAAGGAGTTACCATTTGGAGGTTGATGACAGCAGACACTGTCATGGATGCAGGTTGATTGAGAGTCGTGTGAATAGACTACTTAGACATCCCTTGAGAGAAGAGCTTGGGTGGGTTGGCAGAGTGGGTGGTAAGGAATGATTGCTCATTCTTTACTGTACTTACTGAGGCAGAACAAGTTTTGTCTATTGTGCTGTGGGTTGAACTCAAAGGATGCCCTTCTAGTTAGCTTGCCGTGCAAAATTAAATGGGAACCTTTAAAGGTTTTAGTCCAGAGAGTTCCCTTGGTGGTGAAATTGGGATCCCTGGTGCTTTCTGGTATCTGCTGCCAACCACATCTTGACTTTCTACATACCTGGCAGCCGCTTGATGGTATACCAGGGGACCTCTGCAAAAAGTGTGACCTTTCTGAAGCCAGTGAGAACTCTGATAAATATTCCCTTCTTGGATAATAAGACAGTTTTTCAAGGCTAACTCTGCCTATGATGTTTGAAGGGATGGCTTGGTATAAGCTGGACAAAGCAAAGGTTACAGGAATCAGTGTAACTCATACACCTGAACTAGCTAAAATGTCTTAAGTGGGAGAGGTTACTTTTTTAAAAAGCTTTTTTTAAAAAAGAAGATATTTCGTTCACTACAGATACCAAATGCAAAGCATAAACAATGTGTGATTTATTCTCCTCCCCCAACCCCAAATTGGAGTCTTTTTTTTTTTTTAATTTTATTTTTTATTGTGTTATTTTTACGTGTACCATCAAATCAGATCTGACTGGTACAGGAGGAGATTGTCCCCTCCTCCAGCAGAGCATCTGTTGGATTTGAACCGCATACTTCCGGATTGCAGTGCAGCATCTTGCCACTAGGCCACCAGAGCTCCCTTCCACATTGGAGTCTTACCAACAGAATGCTTAAAAAAGGTTAAGGAAGATCTCTTGATTAACCCTGTTTTTAGTGCTCTTGGGTTAGCCGTCTGCTTTATTGGAGCTGTAGCCCTTTGTTTCCCACACAGTTCCTTTGAGAAACAGCCCCTGCCCTTAACTAGCAAAATGGTCATAGGTAATGCTTTAAATGAGTTAGGAAGAATGGCAAAGCCTGATACTCTGATTGTCTGGACTCTTCGTCTCCCTGTCAGTCCACCCTCTTTTGTCTACTTGTTCAGGTGTTAGAGTCTTTATTCTTGACTATTTCTTTTATTCTTTTCCAGTCAGCCTTTGTTTGCCAATGCCACTGTTGATAAGACCTTGTACATTATAGTTTATAAATATCTGTAGAGGTGGGGACTTTTCACCATAGTATCCATTGTACCTAGCTCTGTACCTAGTATATAGTGAGTTCTCAAATATTAATTGCTCACCTAGCTAAAAAGTAACTGAGATGTCGGTATGGCTGCCTACCAGGAATAAATATCCTTTTCCCTCTCTCCTTCCCAGGAGGGATATTGCTAATGCATATTATTGCCAGGCCAAGTGCTAATGATTTGAGACTCTATTCCATTAACTGGAAGAAACAGTCCCTGCTAGGGATGTGGGTAGACCCTTTTGTGAGTTTCCATTTGCTGGTAAATGTGCCTTTGTGTTTGTTGTTAATCTTGCTCTTTCTGAGCCTTATTGTTCAGAATTTACGCAGTATGTGTGTTAATGTGTTTTATGATGACTAATTACTCTTTCCCCTAGTGATAATAAAAGCATTTATTTTGTTAATGGGTCATATGAGGACTAGTTCAAGGTCAGGTAGCAAGACCTAAGTAATCCATTTCTCAGAAATTTAGCCTGATTGAACATTATGACTTAAGTAATTTTTGTACTGTTGCCGTATTTTGATATGAATGAGAAAGCATGGGAAAAATAAGAGGAGGAAAAAGTTGTTTGGCAATGTACTGAATAGTATTAGGAAAAAGACCTGAACAGTTTCTGTTCTTTACCTGTGAGGATTCCAGCCTGGCCCTGGACCAAGAAATCCTTGAATCATTCCAAGCCTAAAGGTCTCTGGAAAGTGAGGGCATTTCTGATGCCAGTTAAAAGATGTAAGTTACCTCAGGGTGACCTTGATGATCTTTAATCACATCCTAGTGTAACTTTCCGGTGAGCTTTTACGATTAGCTGTGTTTGGAGTTGAGTGGGTGTCCATCAGCTAAAAGCAGAAAAATCTGGATTCTTCAGCTATAATTATGATTAACTCGGTCTTTTATGCCCATAGGTTCTAGCACAGTGCTGTATAGATAATAGGGCTTGTTGGATTGATTCAAGGCTTGATCTGGGTATCTAGAAGCCAATTAAATGGGTGCCATGTTTAACAAATTAATTAGTCAGTTTTTTATCTATCCCATAAGTACTTAACTTTTTAGACTATATGAAAATTTTATTCTGAATAATTTACAGAGTTTGAATACATTGTTTTTCACGAAAGATCCTTCCCATTTCCTTCACCCTAGTCACCCATCAAATTGTGCAACCCTATGATTCATACACTCACCCCTCTATTTCCCCCCTCCCCCCCAAGAATACTTTCTTAAAAGAAACCTCTGATGCCCTCTTTTAAAGGAAAGGAAGCTATGGTGGCCTAGTGGTAAGGAACTGTGCTGTAAGCCCCAAGGCATACTGATCAAATCCACCAACTGCTCCTCTGGAAAAAGATGGGCGGTCTCCTCTGAGTGATTTGTTGCCTCTGAAAGTCTGCTGGGAGGTCACCTGTGGGTTGGGTCTCAACAGCATGTAACAACAACTTTTAAATGAGTATTTGAGATGGCTCATAACACAGAATACACATACAAATAGGAAGTCAGAGCTATATAAAGAATATATTGGTTTATTTATTTAGTGGGAAAAGGATGAGCAGTCTTCTGCAGTTTATTGCTTCTGAAAACCAATTGGAGGGTTAGCTGTAGATCGGTTCTGAGGCGATCGTACACAACAACAGCATAAATATGTGTGCATTTATATTTGTTTATATAAAAATCTGAAGTCTAGGCTAGTTGATGAGATTGATTATTATGTACTACTATAAATGTATAGCAACCAAAGCATAAAAGTTAAACTCTGAATAGCAGATATGGCTACATACATATACCAGTTACTCCAGAAAATACATTTCCTGATACAACATTGTAAAGAAAATTTTCATAGGATGATATCAATAGCTATAGTATGAGTTACGTGGTAAGTCTTGTTTATAACTATCATTGATGATTTCAGGTCCTATTCCCAGGATCAAGATGAGAAAAGAACTCTTTGGGTTATAAAGTGTACCACAACTGATAAGAATCATTGTTTTGTGTTGATTGTTGTCACTTGAACCAATAAGTTGTCCAGCTCACAGTAATTACTGAGTATTCATTCCTCATTTTCTGCTACTTTGTGTTCTAGGTGTGATGGTTGTCCTTGGACCTTTGGAAATTGACATTGTGTCAAGTTTATTCTTTCTTCATAGAGTAAACCCTACCTGGCTTGTTGACAGAACCTCCAAAGATAGACATGTTCCTCTTAAAGGCCTGTCTTAGAACATTTGCTGTTCTCTGATTCCAGGTGATATGTTAGTCATTTGCTGGAGAATCTTTGCAGTCAGAGCTTTATCACCAGGAATTATCTTTTTGCTTATAATATATATTCTTTATTTGAATAAAGCCTATTTAAATTTAGCTCTAATTCCTAAAAAGGATCAGCTGAAACTTAAGAAGCAGACTTAAATAGAGCCCCAGTTGGTCCTGCTTAGATCTTAACCTGAAATGTGAAATCTAGGATATTTTTCTTGTCAGGGTTATCTTGGGGCTAAGTCTTACAGAGTTGACACCTGTACTTCTCAGATTCACTGAAAAAAGATTTGATGGTTTGACATTCCTGTCTTCTCTGCATCATGAGTATCTCACTTTTTAAAAGATCATCTTATCAGGGCAGCTCCCATTTAATTGTAGTGGCAGTCTTTGAGCAAGAGTTACAAGTGTGGAAAGAATCTGTCTTTAGATTTCTCCACAGATAGCTTGCATTCCCTTGTCTGGATATTTAGATTCACGTGTCCATATTATACTTTGTTCTGAGTTCCTCGAGACTTTTACCTATACAGAGAAAAATCAGTTCACTAGCTGTATATCCCAGTGCTGCCCAGATCACAGATGTGTTCCATTGGTGTGGGTGGGGCGGGATATGTGTGATAGTGATGTACACGCAATTGAGAGTCAGTGTCTGTTACCCTACTTAATTTTGTGAGATTATTTACAAAAGGGATTCCGATACATAGAATCTTGTGGCTCCTTAGTTGCCTATGACAAGTAGTTAATGATCTGTAAACAAGCTCTTCCATGCCTTCTTGGACCCAGTTATTTAAAGGAACTGGTTAATAAAGGAGAATCATTTTATGTGTATCTTTTTGCAAATTTAGTAATTTGAATACTTTTTATTTAAAAGATACTGAGTATAACAGTTCATAACACA